TTTCGTCTGATAGCTTGCTAAGTGTAACCTTTGAAGCAAGTTCTAATATTTAAAAAATAAAATTAGATATACATCAAAATCCAGATTTATGAAAGAAAGGTCAGAAGGCACCATTACTACATTTAAGAAAAACAACAAACCTCACTTAAGGAACTAAGCTCTTCAACACTTTTAGGATATCCACCTTTTTTAACTTAAGTGGTTTTTGTCTTAAATCTCTTTTCTTGTAATATAAAAATGCCAACTTCAGAGGAAAAGAGCAGGAATTTATTTCAGTCGAGACATGAGCTAAGATTTGTTTCTGAAGAAAGAGCAATCTAGGCAAGAAGTTCACTTTCACAGGCTGAAACCAGCATGGGGAAGGATGAGGGACAGGGCAAGCAGGAAGGCAGAAAAGACTAAGTAGATCTCTATGTCTCTACAGTAGCAATTATTTACTAAGATACCATATATTAGTAGTAAAGTTACAAGACCTGGAATTCAGATGTTTTCTTTTCTAAGCCTAAACTTTAAAGAAGTAGTAATTGTCTTTCATAACTCACCACATCTAATAGATTTACAGCATGCCCTTTTTGAGGACTAGCAGGTAGGGGGGCTGCAGCTGGCTTGGATTTTTCCTCTGCCAAAACCTCTTCCACTTTAGAAGGTTTCAGCATTCCTCTCCAGTTGCCTGTTCCAGACTCCTGAGACATATCTCCCACTCCAGAAGCAGCCTGCACAAACAGCACAATGAAGAAGCATTGGAGAGTTAGAATTTTGGCACTGTAAAGCAGAATCTGATTAAACCTACTGTTACTGGGCTATTGATAAGACTTACTATAAATGAGATTTTTTTGTATGTATATTCTCTTTGTTTTCTTCATGTTCTCCACCTTTGTTCTTCCTTTGCTGCTTACAGCTTACACAAAGTACCAGTAAAATAAAACCTTCTAAAACTCATATTCTTCCTAATAATGGTGTGAAATGTCTCCTAAAAGCTCCCCAGCATTTTACGTGTCTACAAATCATTTCTGAAATATGAAACGGTCTTCTAAATTCTTTAGCTTTTACCATACAGCCTTGGAGCAATACAACCTACACTATCAGGATCATTCTGAAAGTATGAAGGTCACTACAGCTCTTTGAAAACCTGAATTTAAATTAATTGATATTTTACTGAAATAGTACCTGAAGTTTCTTACAGTAACAGCTAAGTAATATGCACATTTATGTTCCAGGTAGCAAAGCTATGCACATATTTGAGCTGCCAGACCTCAATTTGCAGAAGGTTTTTTTTTGGTAACAAAATTAAAATCTCCATCGTCTGGAAGTGAAGATCAGAGTTTCTGGGAAGTTCAGAGAAAGAATGTTCTCCTGAGAAAAGGATGGGAGTTGGTGGAGGCACTGTCCATGGAGGCATTCAAAAAATGGCTAGACGTGGTGCTTTGAGATATGGTTTAGTCGTCACAGGGGTGTAGGCCTGACGGTTGGACTTGATGATCTTGAAGGTCTTTTCCAACCTTAGTGCTTCTGTGATTTTGGAACACCCAACTACTAAATATTAGGAATCACTGGACAAAAGAAATACTACTTGGTGATACCTACCACATGTAAAATTAATATTTTTTTTAAAGACAGTATTTTTTGATGTGGAACAGTGGTAATTTTTACTTTGTACCTTTCCATAAGGCTAGTATCTATTGTATTTACTACTGTGCTTCAAAATCAATTACTGTCTGAAAAATATTCAAGGCACTGAACTACTACTACTTTTGCCTTGTTGCAGATATAGGGGAAAATAAGCTAAATTTATCTACTGTGTTTACAATTAAAACAACTCCAGCCCAATCCTGAGTCTAAAGGAAGAGTAAGAAACAAAACACAGCAAGTAGAATACCAACAGCTACATACTAGAAGGAAAGCCAGCTAAACTGCGCATGTCAGAAATAGTATTAAAATTGCACACCTATTCAGAGGTGCTGTAAAAAAACACACTATAGGAATTCAAATCAACCTCTGCTAATAAGAAGAACAATTACTGAGGAAAGCTCCATAACATTATTTCTGATTGCAAGAACTATTTAAAATGGCAAAAATCCCTATGCCACTCTCATTCACTTCTACTGTAGAACCTACTCAATCTCCAAAATAGTTTCAGAAGCAAAGCTACATTGTTTCACAGGAAAACATGTTGAGTATGTAGCATCCAATAAAGTACAGGTTTTGTGGGAAGCCACAAATTAAACCAAGTTGGGCAGCTTCCTGCTACTTTACAAGTTATAACAGTATCCTCACAGTAGCTTTTAATTTCTTTTCAATGTTTGAGGCATATCAGAACCTCTAAAGCTCTGATGAAAAGAATAGTTAAAATTCTCCTACTGGCTAGATTTTGACTTCAACTACTTCGTTCAGCACAGAAATGGCAGCTTTGCGCTAGAAGCTGAAAGCAATGAAGCAGAAAGCCTGAGTCCTCTTGGTATTCCTGATACACAAACTTGTGACTACCCAGCTTTTCTGACTCCAAGTGAAAGCAATTAGCAAAAAATTACAGTAACGAGCTGTTATTTTAGTATGAGGGACAGAAACCACTGCAGAACACAGTTAACAAACAGAAGTAAACCAGGGATTGAACAATTATGTAAAATAACAAAAAGGAGGTTCAGTTTGTACAGAGCCTATAAAGATTCCTTGCAGGAAGCAGGAAACTCACATACTTAGCTTATCTTTTGTCCTCTTTTTTTAACTGTCAACACATTGAAAACATGCATTTTAACAACCATGCTGAACACTTTTGATTACAGTACTGTTACACCAAACAACTACTGACTACAGCTGGAGGCAAATTATGCTGCAGACTTGCACCACAATGTAATGCAACCGAGAGTTCAAACAGAAAGCAGTGACTCTGCCACCTAATGGCACATCCTTACCTGCCACTGCACGCGCTAAAATCAGGAATGTCAAGTAGTCGGCACTCTGTAGGGAATACTGTGCCAGTGACACACAGAGCACTAAATACTAACTGCTTTCTGTGTTATCTGCGGTGCACCACAACAGAAACGTACATGCAGTGCTTATAGGAAAAATCAAGACAGACCTTGCCATCAGCCTCAGCAGAAGCAGCAGTAACAGTCTCCTGGGAAGCAGGTGCCAATGCACCTGGTGGTTTAGTAGACTAAGGAAGGTAAAAAATGCAGGGAGGGGGGAAAAAAAAAAATTTCAACTGAAGACCACCAAATCTGCCTAGCAAATTTCACACTTTTACCTACTAGCATCTTTAAAAATCAAGGAAAGAAAGTATTTTGAATTTGGAAGGAAAACAGTAATACAAGCAGAAGGGAAAAAACCCCAAGCATCTCCAAGACAGTCAATACTTTTGTCTTCAACTCTATTTCAGTTCCTACACTCATGATATAAATATGAAGTCAATAAAAAGAAGGATCAAAGAGCACTGAAAGCAATCTCTAGATAGCTATCTTAAATTCTCAGTTTATCCATTGGCTGCCTTCTACTAATTAAAGGCAGTAATATCAAATCCATTGTGCGACTGTCACCTTTTGTCCCAACAAACGTAATGCATCTATTTCTATCACCTGTAGTAACTGTTGTTACAACCTGTGAGGAGCTTACTATATTCTTTATATTTGGATTATAAATATTTCATATAATACTAAATACCTGTCTAAAATTCCAGCTGATTGTCAGACTAGTCATTTCTACAGCTAGGGAGTGTTTTCTATGACACTTGGTTCTTCCATCCATGTACTTACTTGCCATTGAACAAATCCCAAAACCTGGTAAAAATAAGCAAGCTCTGGAGACAGAATATATTACTGGATTATGATGATTAACTGAAAGTGGCACCTCCATCATCTTGCCCAAAAGAAAGCAAGATGGCAATAAATGGCAGTTTTAAGAGTGACTTAAAAAGTCACTATGTTGGCACACAGAATATTGGTTATGTTTGGAAATCAGCATCTCAGACATAAATTTAAGAATGCAAGTTCAGACTCCATCTTTAACATCTGCAAGCATGTTAAGCCTTACCTCAGATGACATCTAACTACTAAGTGTAATATTAATGTAAAGTTATAGGCAAGTCTTCAGAAATCACAGATTTAAAACCTGCCCAAAACTGTATCTTTGGAAGAACTTACCATTTCACTTCTATCTTACAAAATTGGAATAAAAAAGTCAACACCTGGAAGCTCCCAAGACTGTTAACTAGGGTAGGGTATCAAAGTTTCCATCGGTTTGATTCAATCAAAGGAGAATGCATTAAACTTTAAATGAACCAGTAAAAATCAGCATTTTCTTACCTTGTCTCTTGGCACAGCAGAAGGCAATTCCCGGGCTAACCTGTTACGCCTTTGTTCCTTTAAAAACAATCCAGCAAGACCTCAATTATGTATTACTCTGTATCAACACATATTTTACAGATTACTTACATTTTAGAGACAAACACTAGTAATTTCATCTTATCCAGTACTATGTATTCATACTATGATACTATGAAAACTTCAATTATTTGAATGAAACGACTCCGATTACCTGATCAGAAGTAAATTCTTTATATAATTTTTTTTGCAACACACTCCATAATCAAAACCAGAGCCTCTAAAAAACAAGATCAAAGCTACACAGTTTGGCTCAGCATATATACCCTACAGCCCTTATTAAAATTTCAATCTTCAAAGTAATCTACAAGGATTTGATTCTTTGGCCAGAAGGGTTAACTATGATTAGTCCAAAAGGAAGGAAGAGGCAGCAGAATTCACTTTATAGCAAAACAGAATTTAAAACAATCAGAACAAACAAAGATCCGATTTTTCTTAAAATTAAGAATTGATTGTCCACTGAATGAGGATAAGATGTTTTACAAGTTTTGTTTCTTCAAAAATTTCAATGTCCTGTTCAAGAAAACATTGGGAAAGAACTAAGTTTAAGTAACATACGATAATACAATAATCCCTATGTTCAACTTTGCGAAGTCCTAATTGTTGTACTCATAGCAGTTTGCACACATGTTGTTTCTGAACTAGAGTCAAGAGCAGTCTACCAAGACAAATTCAATTGCATACCCAGTCAATACAAAATTTATGTATAGAAGTAAAAAATTGGAACTAAAGAGCAGAAATGATAACATAAGCATTTAAGAAAAGAACACTACTATAAAAGAGAATGCATTGGATAAGCAGGGGAACACAAGAATATTACCGAGCTCCTAGCCAGATGGAAGTACTGCAGCAAAATCAGATTGCAAAAAAGAATTGAACACATCAGTTGTAGAGCAACTGGTACTACAGGATGGTAACAGCAACAAGTATTATCAATCAAAACTGGGCTTGAAAAACAGAAAGACCATTTCAATGGTAAAAGGTTTATGGGAGACTGATGGAGAAAATTGTCTTAGGGAGACTGAAGCATGGTAAAACAGACACAAAAATAATGCCAGAAAGAAGCAGAATTTAGAATTTGGATAAAGACCACTTGTATTATCCTTTCAGGAATGACAGGAACATTATAGCTATTGATACATTGTCAGAGACAAAATGGAGTTACATCAGCATTAAACAGTATCTCACAACTATCTAAAAGTTTCTCTTTCAAAAATTGTATTTAATAGCCAATACTCAACTAGGCGCTCACCTTGTTTTCCAGATAGAAATACAAGCAGAATTGTTTTTAGTGAAATATCAACCACTGTTCTTGAATGTAATAGGCAACATAAATCTAACAAGTCAGCAGATCACAAGATAAAACTATACAGCTTATTTGCAATATATCACATTTTTATACTTAAAAATGTAGAACCCTGCTTAAATGAAAGCAATTAAAGCATTTGGGTTTTTACCAATTATTTAGGCCTTCACTTAAAGGAGTCAAAAGACTTTTTAAGAGACTGCATTTTCTTACCTCTATGTTGTTATTCATTAAACCACAGGCATCAGCAAAGTCTGGATGTTTGGTATTGATATAGGCTAACTCAATGGCCACTAGATTGTGAACCTGCAATACATCATCATTCACAATTCAAAAATTCAGCAAGTAAATGTAATGCTAGTAAAGAGCAATGACCTACTATGCTTAAAAGCACAGTCTAAAAGTCCATACAAAAGACCATTCTTAATAGCCCAAAGACAATAAAGTTCTGATGCAGAAGGCAAGAAGGGAATCCATTCATTGCAGAGCAATCAGACCTTTAGCCATTTTGGATGCTACACCAGTTTAACTTGTTAGCTTTATCAACTAATGCCTCTCCAGCACTGAATAAACGAAATCCAGCAACTTAAAGAGTGTAAGCTATGTAGCAATGAAATGAGCTATATAGACAATCTACAGCCACAAGCCACATGTGAGCCAGTGAGAGATGGCTCACTATGGGGGATAGTAAGCATACTGAACAACTTTTGCTTTTCACATCAAACATATGCCAAGTCAATAACTGAAACACTTTGCTTCCCCCAAAAAAGCAGTCTGAAGCAGACTTTTATATTAAATCACATTTACTCAAAGCGAGAAGTTGAATTTTAGTTCTCGCTAGCTAAAAAGCAATATAAGCAAACCCAACGTTTTATGCTCATTTTATCTCCAAAACACACAGAATATAGACTAGAACTTCATTTTCATAATTGCATCCCAAAGTCTACAATAAATGCACAGCTTCTGTTACAAGAGAGCAAAATCATCATCAGAAAGACTAGAAAACTTTAAATCTAAATCTTAGTAAAAGTCTTCTTAGGACATTAAAACATGGGGGACAATAAGCCAAAGAGGATTTCCCCTAATTCTTTACGTACCTATCTTCTCATATAGAAGTTTAAAACTATCTAGAAATTGAATACCTAGCTATCTAACAAATACAAGTTAAGATTCCTTCAATAGTTAGGATTCCTGACATAACAGTGCAAATAGAAGCATCAAGAAAGACTCCAGAAAAACACACTTTTTCCAGCAGAATTATAATAGGCGGATGATTACCATTTCATTTGTGACAGGAAGTCTCCTACGCAGAAGACAGGTTACTACTTCAACTATGGCATCGTGCAGTTTAGGAAATCTCAGTAATTCCTAAAAAGAAACCCAAAATTTACTGATGAGACTTCCAGAATATTTAGGGAAGTGAGGGGAGGGGAAAAGCCAAATAATTACAAGCCTAATTCTAAAACGTGCATTTTTACCTGTGTACTGTAATTGCTACAGTGCTGGATAATTCTCTGCATTTCTTCATGAACTAGCTCCACGCAGCGCAAGCTTGGTTCTTCTAAACGTTTGATCTGCCTTTTTACCAGTAATTCAAACGAAACTTCGGGAACAAACAAGGCAGGACGGGGACCCTAGTTCAAAAGAAGGGAAAAACTGTTAAATTGTGTATTAAAACAATATCCATCTCTAGGAAGTAGTATTCTAGGAAGTAGTATTTGATGAAGTCCAGAATAAATCAGTTCACAGTGCTCACCCAAAAGAGCTCTCAGAACAGGTCTTAGAAGTAAAATATTACAAGAATATTTAAAAGCTATAAAATAGGAAGTTAGTACCTTTAAGACAAAATGTGTTAAACAATTATTAACCAGTGTCCTTACAGAATATTGAAAATTTCTACCTACTAATGTCACTCTAGGCATACAACTATAAAAAATTATTTTCACCTTTGTGGATCCAACTTTAAATTAAATTTGTTATAAGGGCAAAGATATTCTCTTCCTAAGTTCAGAGAGAAGAGTTGCCACTATTTAGAAGAATTCTATTTATGACCATACAGACCAGTGCTTTCACAGTCTCAGGTGTACAATTCTTACTGGAAAGTAGGTGGGTTTTCTGTTAAGTAGAATCATAATACAGTGTCATTAATTCACAATGTTTAGGAGAATTCTATTTATGACCATACAGACCAGTGCTTAGCTATAGAGAAAAACATTTCTAGATGATTATTAGGATTTAGTCTCTTCACATTAACTCATTCAGCTGAGATAATTAGTTCACAAGACTGAAGGAGAACAAATTTGTCAAAAATTGGTCACAGAACCCAATATATCGTATCAACACTTAGGAGTACAGAACAACACTCACAGTAGCATTTCTAATGGCAGTGAGAATATCAATTGTGTTAAGGCCTCCCAGTGGGTCAACAGATTCTAAAGTTCTTCCAAAGGTCTCATGAAAAATATAACAAATTCTGGCTCCACCGCATCTGGAAATCAAAATAGTAACTGAAGTAATAAACAAGAAAAAAAAGCTGTCATTGCATTTTTTTACAGTGACTTGAATTCAAACATATCCCCACATCCCCCCTGGATGAAAGGATAGAGTGTATCCTCAGCAAGTTTGTTGATGATACAAAGCTGGGAGGATTGTCTGATACAACTGAAGGCTGTGCAGCCATTCAGTGAGATAGAGACAGACTGGAGAGCTGGGCAAAGATGAACCTAATGAGGTTCAACAAGACTAAGTATAGAGTCCTGCACCTGGGGAGAAAAAACACCATGCAACAATACAGATTAGGGGTTGACCTGCTAGAAAGCAGCCCCATGGAGAAGGACCTTGGGGTCCTGGTAGACAAGTTATCCATGGGGTAGCAGTGTGCTCTTGTGGCCAAGAGAGCCAATACTATCCTGGGATGTATTAAGAACAGTGTGGCCAGCAGGTCAAGGGAGTTTCTCCTACCCTGCTACTCTGCCCTAGTAAGACCACATCTGGAGTATTGTGTCCAGTTCTGGGCTTCCCAGTTCAAGAGGGACATGGATATGCTGGAGAGAGTCCAACAGAGGGCTACAAGGATGATTAAGGGACTTAGAACACCTGTCCTACAAGGAAAGGCTAAGAGACCTGGGGCTGTTTAGTTTTGAGAAAAAAAGACTGAGGGGACCTCATTAATGTCTATAAATATCTGAAGGATGGATGTCAAGAAAGGGCCAGTCCAGTCCAGTGGTGTCCTGTGATAGGATGAGGGGAAATGATGCCAAGCTACAACACAGGAAGTTCCACCTCAACATGAGAAAAAACTTCTTTACTGTGAGAGTGATGGAGCACTGGGACAGGCTGCCCAGAGAGTTTGTGGAGTCTCCTTCTCTGAAGACTTTCTAGACCCATCTGGACACATTCCTGTGTGATCTGCCCTAAGTGCTCCTGCTGCAGCAGAAGGATTGGACTTGATGACATTCAGAGGTCCCTTCCAACCCCTGTAATTCTATGCTTTTTGAGTATGTTATGCTCTAGTGTAGTACTACTGCAAATGAAAGTAAGCAAGAGCCACCGCTCTAACTGCTCATTCGATATTCTAAAGAACCATTTGGTACTTACAGTTCTGAAGTCTCTATGTACTTTGCTGTTCCTTCAATAGTGTTACAATATTCTGTGGCAAACTTGGTAATAAGCTGCAATAAAGTGGCACTTTTATCCTCAACAGGTTCCCCATAGCTGTTTAGTAGAGACTGGTATTGAGCAGCTAAAACATTGATTCTGGTTTTCAGTTCTGGCAAGCAATCCCTGATATGATGCATCAGAAGTCTAAAAACAGAAAACAGTCCCTCATCAGAAGGGAAGAAAAGTTTCAGCTTTATCATCTCTATCAAAACAGAAAAGAGACAGAAAATAATCACCAAAGGAAAACATTTACTCAGGATGATTACAGTAAATTCAGAAACTGAATTTGCAACCAGTTTTCCTTAATGTATCACTGTACAGCACCACAAGATAAAGGAAAAGTAAAAATAAATGTTTACACGTATTTCCAACACACCAATTTATATTTTAAAGTATCTTTAAAAGCACACATTTATTTTATGTTATATGTAATACCTGTTCAGTGTTCTGGCAAGATATTTGGTTCCATTTCGATTGGCTAAGGAAGGATACTTCTTTTGAAGAAAACCATATTCATCACGAATGGAATCGGCTACACTCTTCTTATTGTTAATATCCAACTGACTCCTGAAGTTAAAAGGTGAGAGTTAAACACTTGTTAATAGATGTAAAGTAAAAATAATTTGGTTTTCTTCTTTTCTGGACAGGATGCCTAACAGCTGGATTTTGCTTAACACACATAACATCTTTGTTAGACAATAAAGGGTTTTATTTGTTGTTCCATGCAGCATATTCAACAAATCAGTATGAGTAGCAGCTGTACAGAAGCTAAGCAATGCTATTATGAATACTACAGAGATTTGGCCTAGCTAATGCAAAAAAAAAAGTGAACAGTACTATAGCCATATACAGTGAGAACTAAGACAAATGAGATCTGTACTGGATCGGTGCTAACGTGAACAGAAGCATCCCCCAAGTTAAAAAAACAACAGCAGAAAGAAGTGACACTATAGTTATTTTAGAAGTGCCCCTATTCCTTTCTAAATTAGCAGTTGGATGAGTGGACAAAGAACACACAGGCTCTAGAAAGGTGAGCAACAAGCTTCTTTCTTGCTTATTCAGAAGTTTATTTCAACATTAGCTCACCTTACTCTTAAAACCATATTCATGGTAAAATAAGTTGAAAGCCTTACTTCATATTAACATGGTTTTAAAAACAGCATCAATGCACCCAGACAGACCTGTTCACTACTCCAATGATGCCAAGTTTGACTGGAATCACTCTTCCCATGAGCACATCCATAGCATCAGTGCCAGCATCCATGAGATCTAGCTTTGTGATAACAGCAAGGGTTCTCCGACCTACCGAAAGGAAAATTCACTCACATGGATGTTTTGTCTTGACCAGGGTAGCTGAAACTCGGAATTCAGAAAGTTCCTCAGACAACTGCATGGAGTTTAATACTGCAAAGCAGCAAGGACTAGTGCAAGAACATGGTTTTAGTCTATCTGGAGCTCCTTATTAACAGGAATATAAAAAAGTATTTGGCAGGTACTGCTCCCCACACAGATCTGGTTAAAGAAGAAGGTTTAGGCACCAAGGCACCATGCAGTTTGAAATTATAGTCACTACTGATTACAACAAACATTTCTGCATACTACATAAAGTTAGAAATGTTACTAAACACTTGTAGAGAAGAGTAAGGGGACTCAGAAGAATGAGTGGACTGAACTTATTTCTAGCATATGTGTAGGACCAGATGTAATGGTCTTTAAAATACAGTTCCAACCAGATTGCCACTACCCACTGGAGAAACTGCTCTAGGAAGCAACAGGCCAAATTCCAGCAAAGAGCATCAAACGCACAGCTGAAAGCCCCAAGAGACTGAATAGCTTGAAATCCACCTACAGAAGAAGCCTTAGTGGATTTAATTTTGCTAGTAAAATACATTCTTATTGAATATGTGACTGAATGTTTTCTGAATTAAAACTAAGCTTCATATTGGACACTGTGAAGGGAAAAGTTACCTACATTCACTAAATAGGTAAATACTGTACATCTAAACAGGTAGGCTAACATGCACAGGATTTGCCTGGGACTTTAATATCTTCTGTGATCCTTGGTCTGAAAAAAACATGGCAAGAACTTTTCTTTAACACGTAACACACTTTTCAAGTCTGAAAATAAACCAGTACCTCAGCAAAATCAGTAGTTTCTTAGGTCCTGAAACTTTCACAAGAATGCAAGGCAAAGAGTCTACCTACTGTAGTACTTCAAGTTCTCATTTCATACAAGTTCTCATTCCTACAGAATCTGCAACATGACCTGCCACTATGGATCTTTAAGATTCAGAATTTTGGGAAGTGATCCAAGTCACAGCTGATTGTTTTCAGAGGAGCAAATTAAAATGAAATGGTCTGCTGCCTTGTACCAGGAAAATTTGACTCAGAAGCCTGCCAGGAAAAGAGGTTCTCCCTCGAGGTTGTGTGTCTGTAAAACCCATAAAGGCTTAGACAGACAGACCAAAGCAGGCAAATTTGAAAACAATCAGGAAATGTTATACTTCATGGGAAGAAAATTTTGAGGGAAAAGCGTATCGACACCAAATATTAGTCTAATTTCAGTATATTTATTTTCCAACTATATGCTTCCAAATCACACACCGCCAATTATTACTGATAGGACTTCCCATAAACAAGGAACAGGCACCAAGAGGCTTCAGATCTGTTTTGAAATCATTACGTAAATATGAAATGATAAACCTCTTTAGATTAAATCAAACCAGTCAGTTCTGTCTCATAACTACATGGCACCAAAATGGATACTGACAGTATATATTAATTTTGTTCTTACTAAAGGTCATCAAACTAACAGCTGGACAGTCAATTACTAGCTGCAGGATGGCATATTTTCTCTACTAAAGGAGACAACATTGGACAATAAAGCATTATGTCATCCTAACAGACCACTATAAATTACTAAAAATCTCAACCCCCCCCCCAAGACTCTATAATGCCATTTTGCTGCTCTGGTATTAGAAGGGACTCCTATGACTACTAAAACAGTTATCTGGCCTGTTCATAAACCAGAAATCTATTGGATATTGGTTCATCACAGCATTCTCTGAGTTGCAGAGACTACAGAAGGAAGTCCTTAAGCAAACATAATAATTGTACTTTCTAAGAAATTCAGTGACATTAGGCTTTCTTGCAACTTTTTGCCCGAAGTTCAGCTTTATTTTAGGATTTAAGTTTTAAAAAGAAGCTGAATTACAAGATCCAGTTTCTCTTGCTGCTTACCATCTGGATCCACCTCCCGTGCAATTTTAAGTGCTTCTGAAGTGGCCATGTCTGTGTTAGCAGCTGTAACTGCCAGAATGATTGAATTTGGGTTGCTGATGAACTGAAGGATTAGCTCTCTTATTTGAAGTTCAATGTCCTTAGGCTGATCACCTACAGGCACCTAGGAAAAAAAAAACACCAGAACTGTTTAAAATTTTCTATTTATGCTTATGTAAGACCACTCATCGGAAGCTCATACCCTATACCACAATACAGGATAAAGTTTTCCAGCCCTGTCCTTCCCCCTTCATGAACAAAAACAAAAGGAAAATATTGAAAAGTATCAAGGTCAAAACTACTCTTTTAGAAATACAAATCAATTTAAATTATTTGATACTTTTGTCTAGAAGACCTGGCATCCAAGAACCATCTGCACAACTGGCACAGTGGGATATGAATGTGTGCACGGGCATGGAAGGAAGTAATCTGGTCATCTTAATGCCACAGAAAATTATTCAGGATAAAATCTGAACAAAGAGGAACTAAACATTTCTTCCAGTGTATTCTCACTTCCTACAACTTCTTACGCAACATACATAGAGCAACTTCTGGAGAAGCAATGGAGAGAACACTTTCAAACTTATAAACTACCCATCTACCTGCAGGTGCAACTTTGAAACTTCAAGTGCTATCTCTTCTATGGAAAAGCACATGCAGCTTGCACAATGCTTCCAGTCCCTCAGCTGTACATAGAAAGAACTTAAATAGATCTACCTCTTAAAACAGTGAAGAGCACCAGAAAACAAATATTACACAAGAAGTTGGTGATATCTCAAATGTGTATAACCAGCTACTTAACCTGAGGAAAGCTTTTTATCTAAGACTACAGAATAATGCCAAAGAGTGAACATACACTCCGTAATTCCAAACACACTGCTCTCAATGACTCAGAAGAGAAGCATTCTACATCTTACCTTTGTCATTCCAGGTAAATCCACAAGAGTCAGATTTACAACATTAGCAGAAAATATCTTAAGATGAATAGGTTCTGGACTGATTCCCTAGAAATAGGTTAATAATAAAAATTAATCACTGCACTGGATTATTTAAATGTACCCCTTTGAAAGCCAAAAGCTATAGTTTCAAATGAGAAAAACTTTACTCCATCATACACCTTGCAACTACTCAGTGATTAAAAAAAAGCCAGCCACATGTGTCAACCAACTCCACTGTCTTTGGAGGCAGGCCCCTTTCCCTCTCAATATAATGGATAAAAGCTTTTATATTCCAGAAATTACATAGATGCACAAGAATAGAACACTTGATTTTATAATTACACAAAGCTTTGTATGTGGAAAAATGGAAAAAAGATTAATCAAAGTTTATTTCTTGCACTATTATTATGGAAGCTTTTAAGTAGAGTAACAACAACTATCTGCATTTTCTGAAACCTAAAGTCATTTATCCCAAAACTCAGTGAAAAAATTGCATTATTGCATTCTTCCTTATCATAGTTCAGTGATTTTCACTTTTAGCTGCCAAAACTGTTTAAGAAAGGTTTAAGCAGCAAGAGAATCTACAGCAAGACAAATATGGACAGTGCAACATTTACCTTATTATTTCCTGAAATTCTCTCTGTTTCATTTTCTATTTCCTGACGTATTTCATCAAAATCTGTATAGATCTGAGGTATGGAAGGATAAAAAAAATGTTTTCAATAAAATAAGGCAGCACACATTCACATAATTGAAAAATAATGCTACCTTCTCCAAGAAACATTGAAAAACTATGTATACAGAAGGTGAGAGAAAGTAAGAATTTCTATTAGCCTGTAAGCTAATGCTAAAAGCAGTCAACAGTGCTAAAAGTTAAAGAAATATGAATCTTGGTATTTCATCTATTGATTAACACTGTGAGATGGCAGTTAGTAGCACTTATAACTCCATCAGACAAGGTATAAAATAGTGTTCGCCTAAAAAGAATTTCAAACACTTTATTTCACTTCTAACCTAGTTGCAATTCTTGGAAGCTAATAAACAACATGTAGCTTGAATCCCTTCTCATCTCAAAGAGGATGAAGAACAACGACAGTTTCACTTCAAAAAGTTTCCACTACTGTTAAACCTATTCTCCTTCCACCAATTCAAAATAACTTAGCACAGAGCTACCCTTGCACAGGTTCCCTCTGTATTCCTCTCTAGACTTCCTTCAATTTCTGGCACTGCCTAGGTCAGTAATGAACACTCAAATAATTCATCTGCCAACAAAAAGATTACTGTCTTCAAGTAGAGAATGACTTTGGCTCTCTTGTTGAAGCCCTAGGTCATCTCAGTTGCTGCTTCTCTCCCTTGATGAGCATTACTCTTCCTTCCTCTTCATAGCTTTCTAATATATCTCAGAAGTAGCCAGTTCTTACGTGTATTGAAATGGTTTGTGATTATATCTTTCTTGCCTTTGCAATTTCCATTTTAATTTTGCCAATGCAGAAAAAAGAATAATTAACGAATTAACACAAGAATTAAGATAAATACCTCATCAGAATCGATGACCCACACCACAGACAACAGGAAGTCTGTATCTTAAGTTAAAAAAATAAAAAAATGTTTCCAGAAGTTTTCTACTCGTATAAAGCAAAACAGAAAATCTTCAATACCCTGGCATATAGCCTAGTAGGTAGAATAATCTCCTTTTTTGGTAAGTCAAGGGAAGAGATGCATAATTAGGTACATATATGATAGCGTATTTATGACACTGCTACTGCATCATCAGAATAAACGTACCTTATTTTTGGTATGAAGAAATTTACCCCACTCTTCAGCATCTATCTCTGAAAAGCAAAGAATTGACATGAGGAAGATGTTTCAATGGCATTTTTCCAAGAACCTGTTTGTTGAAGACTACATGATTTTATTTTTTTTTTCAAGCAGCAATAGGAAAATTAGTCTACTTTCTACTGTTCTATGTTAAATAGCTCAGTACAGATCAATTAAAGATTCTGCTTATGATTCAGCTTATTTAAACATAGCATCTCATTACTTTTTAATGTCTCTTACACAAGGTCCACCTTCTTAATTGTGACTGAGCGAATCAGCTGTCTCACCATTTTTAGAAGTTATCTAGTCCATTAAATATCAACTTGCCACAGAAAACAGAAGAATTAATAACAGCAGCTTAAAAAAAAAAAAAATCTCTGAAAAAGAATCAAACAGCTTTTAGCATCTTTTCTTTTACCATGCAAGTGAGATCAAATCACAGCTGAAAGAAAAAGTTAGAAAAACCTGTTGAACCAAGCAAAAACAAAATAGATAAGAATTCTACGTAACAGTGAAGTCTTAGGAGAACATGTCTCTTGTTTCTTCCCAAATCTGTTAAGGACCAAACATTTTAACTCGTCAGCCTCCACTAATGTCCAGAATTACCTGGGGACTACTGAAGAGCAGTCCCAGAAACAGCAAAGGAGGTTTTTCCTGCTTCATAGTGCAGGGAGCAGTTTGAGTGACATTGCAAGATACTCACATCACCACAACTAAGATTCCAAGAATCACTAATAAGTTCCACTTGAAATTTTTAGTTTGTGGTCATTTCCTGTCTACTTCCAAATACAGCAATCTGTTCTAGAAGAATAGTGTACAACAAATCTGTCCATTTGGCAAACAAACTGCTTACCAACAATTAAGTCTTCTCTCAAAACATTTTTTTCTGCTCAAGTTGCATTTCAATATATCAATAAATAGAGAAATTTTTTTTAAGGATTTGGGAATTAGAAGTGCAGGAAATTCTATGAAGCAGCAACAGAAGGAAAGCAAAAAATCATCTCATTCTAATGCAATAAGGTCGGAAAACTAAAAATCAACCAAATCACAAGACTCAGCAAAATAATCTATCAACACAGTAGCCAAAGTGTAAAAGGAAAAGTGTAATCAACAATAAAGTGGCATGAAATGTATGCAGTTAGTGTACATAAGCATGCACTTTATGCGTAGGGAGAAAAAGCAAGTGGATAAAGGCAACCTTTAGAAAGGTGTCTTGGATTTTTCCATGTAGCAGGGTCTGCAGTTAAAGAGAAACAGCATTGAATGATATGTAAAAATTTAACCATATTTAATATAGCATTTTAGTAACTTTCTGTACCAGATTGTATTATAAAAATTACAAATGCATGCAGACAGGTGTATGCTATTCTACAATTGATGAGAATGAGTAACATATTAACAATATGCACAGATGTAAGATCTTAACTAAACACTGAAAAATTATGCATATTAATCAGATACTCTATACAACAGAGTTTACTTGATGATAACTTTATTGCTGTTCATCTAATTCCAACAGCTCACAATATCTGAGCACATAAACAGCACCATTAGGTTCTGCAAATCTGAACTTCTTTGGCAACATGTTTCTCATTATTTATTTATGGCAAGAACAAGAAACTGTCACTAGAAGGAATATTACTGTACAGGAAGGAAATCTGAGGTTGGCAGAGATCTTCCTAATGCTAATTTAAAAAAAAACAACAAACAACTATGGCAGTTCTGAGACAGATTTAAGAACAGACATCATTAGCTATCACCCTTCTCAAATTCTGATTTTCTCAAAATATTTATGGAAAACCCATTACAGAATACTTTTTCTTGAAGGCTTGATGAGTTTACACTATATCTTTATGTGATGCCAGTTAAGCACCGTAGAAATGCAAGAATCAAAACAAATTGGTGAAGACATTTTTGGCACATTCCTGTTTGGCATAAAATCCAAGCAGCACAGCAACCATCAATTCATCACTTTGGAAAGTCTAGTACATCTGGGGAGTTATTTATATGTCTTGCTCAGATGGGTTAGTTTGACCATCCCTGGAAATATGCAAACTTAAATGGACTGGAAAAAAAATAAACTACTTTACCCTTACTGTTCTGCAAGACATGAGCTATGAAAAAAAACATTGTTGCGAGGCAGCTTTTGTTTGCCTTGTTTGGTAAACAGTCAAAATTGCATACTGTCTCCAAAAGAAGTGCAAAAGGAAAGTGCTCATTAATTCTAGGTTATTAAGCAGGTTTAGTTTATTTACAGTTCAGAGGAAATAAAGCAGAATGTACATACAAGAAGAACTACATTATCTTCAAAATCATATTGCTCATCCTCTTAAAAACTGAATTTAAGAAAGTAAAAACAGGAATGAAGCCAGGAAGAAAAAGATTGAGGAAGACACTGCCTCCATTACATTTGAAAGCCATGGACCAAACACTCTCCCTTTATGTCCCTCCTACAAAGATCATGTCTCCCTAGAACACTGGTTTAGTCTTAAACTACTGGTTTTATGGTGGCATAGGAATCTGCAGCTAGGTACTAGGCTTAGTTCTATGTATAAATCAATGTTTTGTTTCAGTACATTTTATTATTTTTTTAAAATACATGTAAAAAAAAAAAAGATGTGTTCAAGTCAAAGGCATTGTGTTTAAACTTGTTAACATTAATGATCAAAAAAGAACCAAATTTTTTTTAAGCTTTTACAAGTCTCAAGTTTCCTTTGCTAAATATAACACAAGAGAAGATTGAAGCCATGATAAATGGCTTAGACTTAACCTCAGCCTTGGTGCATGTAAAAAAAAGAAAGAAACCAGACAGTTAAGGAATAAATACTCCTGAAGTGTACAGAAAAATCTCATCTGGACAAAGTATAAACTTTTAGAAATTTCATTTTATACAGCAGGGAAACTCTTGCTCCACTCTCTGAGGAAGTCTGTTCTTGCATACCTTTAATACTTGAGAAAATTTTCCCCATAGCTCTAATGTAATGCAAAAGTGTTTTTTAGGAAAGGAGGAAATATCTGCATTACTCATAATGCAAGGATGCTCAAGGCAAGGAGAAAATATTTTAATTAGCCTACATTCAATAGCCCAATGCTCTGATTCACATGTAGAACATTTTTTTTATTATTACTACTTTCACTTTCTGGAAGCTTTTCAGGCAAAACTTTCAGGACAAGTATTCTCCTGATTGCATTCAAGATTCAATGCTAGATAAAAGTCTGTAGAAGCAACATTTTGGTAATTAAAATATTAAGTATTACAGATCTTAAGAAATTATTACAGCAGCGGCTACTTAGAACAAACATCCTGCCTTTAAAAAACTATGTTCTGAATACAGCAACAGTCTTTTTGCTTTTCCGGCTTTTCACATCTTGGAGTGAGACCTTAAAGCTTTAATTAATATACTAGAAAACTAGATACAATTACAGTATTTTTCTCTGATCTGCCCTCCACCAAATTGTTACTTGTTATCTCCTAAACTGCAATGCTCCTTGAAGATGCTCAAATACAGTACAATGCTAAGTGACTCTAGTTATTCCTTTATCATTTCCGCTTTTCTAAAGCAGTAGAAATGTTCTTCATGCACAATGTCAGCACAACAAAGCTGTTCCGAGTCATAAAAGGCTACCACCATACGGGATTTCTTGCAGTGTGGCAACAAACACATCAAGAATTTTACCTGCTTTCCCAGCTTTTGAGTTTCCTTCTCAGCTCTAATTTCACAGTTCTTCAACCCAGAGGACTACCTTCTGAAACCTTTTTTTTTTCCCCCATTACCTCAGCATTTCCTAGCTCTCCTTCTCTAAATAAAAAAATCCAAGTTGTGAAAAAAATGTGCACGTCTTCCTGTATCTTGTACCATTTTTTCCATCTTTGATGCTACCTAGATGACAAGCTCTTTCTTCTGAAAGCTCTTTTTCTCTTCTTCTTCTACAAAGCTATGCACAAAGAAGCAGCTCACAGGTTGGGAGCTGGGCTAAAAGATCCATACTTTAAGTAGAGAGCAAAAAGCTGACAAAACAGTGTTGATCTAGCAAGCAACAGATCTGTATTAACTATATCTGTGTTCCATATCAATTCTGTCTGTTCAGAATTTCAATAATGTTCAGCTTCCTATGGACCACAAAAAAAACAATCTATGAACGTTTAGTAATTGACCATTCATACATACCTTCTTTTCCATTCCCTAGCAAATGGACCAGCTACCAGAAAATGTCTTAGCTACAAGGTCCATTTAATAATTCACAAGACCAGAGACAGTTCCCTCATAGACACTATTTCTCTTGCAATTTGATAAGAGAAAACCACAGTGTGGTACCACCACATCAAACACACTGTATGTGCTGAATCACTAGAGGTTAACAATAAACAGCAAAAACATGATGAGAACATTTCCTCCACACCAAATCACACATCTGTAGAATGTATCAGTCTGAAATACGACGTCATGAAATCATAGCACTTCATATTTAATGGAAAATTCAACTCTCTGCTATTGCCTGCCTATCTTGACTTATTGCAGTGACAACTGAAAGGGAATAGTATAACTCATCAGTGACTTTAAAGATCATTTCTGCTCTTCCTCAGTGTTGCATATTAGAAAATCAGAAGTTCAAAGGTCTGGCTGCAATTCTTTCCAACTATCTTTTCCATTGTGCTCCCCAGAATCAAATAAGAGATTTTATTTTTTTAAATAAAATATTAAAAATAAAACACAAAACAAACACACAAACCCAAACCTACCAACCAAAAACCCCAAACTCATATGAACTGATATTCTTTGGCAGCTCACATACAGCTACAGATGTCACAAGTTATTGGATAGGCACAATCTTTCCTTCATAGTCAGAAAGACAAGGTAATTCTCCATGTTTAAACAAATACCAGACAAATCCAAAGTGCTTTTATTAAAAAACAGGGAAGCTTTCTGGCTGCAAAGACTCAGAGGTAAAAGACAAGCTTCTAAGAACCACAGACTAGTACTTTTTTTAAAAGGATGTATTTCCACATAATACAAGTACATATCTAGAGCAAGCATTAGGATGGATAAAGGTGATATCACAAAACAGAGAAGACAAAACAAAGAGGCAGTTGCATAAAAGTATCGGTGCACACAGAGTTAATTATGAGCACATTCAGAAAGCAGCATGCCAAGACACGGTTATTTTCTTGTCCAATATTCAACTGGTAAAAAAAGAAACCTGTCACCTGGAGAATATTTTTTGCTGCAAGACTATGGATAGACTTTCCTCTGGGAAATTCCAAATGCATAATCAACCCTACCTCACCACCCACCTCATGACAAACCGAAATAGGACCTCTAATAGTGTAGTGACTTCTTACAATGTCAGACAGCATAGCCATGATAAGAGATTGCCAACTTTTTTTTCTTTTCAAGCTACTTGATCCCACCTTCTCAGATGTAACACCGCAATCTATATATGCTAAACCACATCAGTAAAAAAAAACATTTAGACCACAATTTGCCTGAATTTTAGACAAAGAGGTTTGAAATGCAATTCTTAAATCATAAAGGTTTGTCTGTTCTTACCAAACAAAATTATAGCATGACCATCTTACAGATTGTTTTCTAATTCATATTTAGCCCAACATCCTTATGCAATTATATAATTATCCCATTTTAAATGTAAAAATATGAAGCCCCAGATCAAATGCAACATACAACAGAAAGGTTCTGCATTGACTCAGAATATTCTAATTACAAAGCCATCTTTTATATCTGGGAAGTTGCAGAGAAAGACAAAATAGTATTTTATCCTATAGAACTCAGAATCAAAACATTCTGAAAAGTACTAGAAACTATATACTGCAAACTGCAAGTAACATAAAACCACATTTAAAGAGATCAAATGTGTAACTTCTAAAAGGTTGTCCAGAGACTCTCTGAACTGTTCACCTTTGGAGGTTTTCAAGACTTAACTGGATAAAGCCCTGAGCAACCTGGTCTTGAGTTCAGAGCTGGCCCTTTTTTGAGGTCAGACTAGAGACTTTACAAGATCATTTCCAAACTGAAACATCCTACAGTCTCTCACAATCTAGCACACTCTGGCTTGCACACTAAAAGTTCACAATTTTCATGAACCCAAATTGTATTCTTGGCTTGTGGCCATAATGAAAATTGGAGCTTAAATCTTTTAAACTGCACATATTAGTAACTATTCTTCAGAAACCAAGGGCTATAAATATTAAATGAGAACAAACACTGTAAAGAACTTCTAACACCTTGACTTACTATTGCTAGAAATAAATTCCAAAAACTTATAACACAATGAGAATTAATAATTATAGCCCAGAGTTGATCATGCCATCAAAATCCTGTGTATGTTTTACTGTGCCCATCAAAAATGCTAAGATTTATCTTACAATCAGAAGGTCAATATGCCCCTGTTGCTCTTTCATAAGTTCTAGAGCACTAGTTATCATAGTATGAGCATTGAAACTCCCAAAGAACACCTCAGATTACTTTCTTGATCTGCTGAAAGATCATACAACACTACAGAAGACACAAACTTCAAACTAGATAGATTCAGAATATTTAAAGTGCTGTATTTTATTTGCTTGGAATATCTCAGTGCAACCCAAAAAGGCAGCATCTGTAAGCTACAGAAGGTCACTATTAAGTTTTGTTTGTCTACTACAAGTTTGTTTTCATTTCTCCTTCTTCTGCTCTACTTAGACCTTATCAATTTCCTAACATCCTTCTAAAACAATCACATACTCATCCTCTCAAGGGAAGACTGTTTATACAGCAAATGAGTAGGGATAGAAAAACACAAGAAATTGTTATCTGCAGTCTAGACAACCATTATCATGAAACACTTTATTAGCCCTGTTAAAAAAGGAATGCCTAAAACATTGAAGATATTTTGAATATTCAAAAGATTTGGCTTTGTGGCATTTGCTAAATGGACAGAACAGACGCGACAACTGTTTTCTTCCAAGCACATTTTAAAAAGCACACTCAGGTTTTAATTTTACAATGATTTTCCAGTCAAATTAACAAGAATTATTAACAAGTCTCTTTTCTACTATGCAAAACATACTCTCGAATCACACTTACCATTTTCATCTCCAGCTGTTTTCCGACCATCCTCTGGGGAAACATGCACCAGCTGCAGAATGAGGGGTCTCCGCGTGACAACTCCAGTACCTCGCGGGAGCAGATCCCTCCCCACAAGACTTTCCAACACAGAACTCTTTCCACTGCTCTGAAAATTGGAATACAACTACATTATTTTCTTAGGCAACAAAATGCTTTAATGTTTTAGTTTTAGCTTCATCACTCCTGTAAAAACTGCTCTACTCTGTCTTCTGCTATATAGCACCCAAAAGAGTATCTGATATATGTTCTACTGCATCTAACACTGGTAACACACTGCATAGGCACTAAATGACACAATTCTGCTATAAACCAGTAAGTGTATTCAAAATTTTCATCTCTTCAGAAGCATTTCTGGAAAAAGAAAAATTTTCTTTATAACACTCAGTAGAAAACATAGAATTGCTTCTTGTGAAGTGCCTAACACGTCACTCTGTAGACTAAGGAATTTAGCCTTCTGTTAGTATTAACATGAGCTGGCCATGTTAATATTAACAGGAGCATTATGCAAAAAAAATATTAACTATGTACACTTGAGTACATTAAGCTTGTACAATCTTTTATTCCTTCCAGTTTGCTTTTTCAGTATTACGTATTACATCAGCTTCATAAATGCAGATATTGTTTTATGCTTTAAATATATAAACAGACAACATTTTCTATCTCTCGAGTTCTGTGTATATGTAAGTATTCAAAATTGAATTATTATGAGTATCTATCTACATAGTGACAAATTTTAAGAAATTGTGAAATACTTAAAGGCTATGAAACTACAAATTTGCTTTGACAGTCTACATTTAAAATGCTCTCCTGCAGTAGCACTTCTGAACAAAATGCAGAATTGGGCCACATGGTTGTATAAGCTGCTGTGAACACATGGATTTTGAGAATGATTCAAGACTACTACTGTGTTAAACAATAGACCCAGGTATGTTAGCAGTGTGTTTTGAAAATATGACCAGTAAGATTTTGGCTTTTGATAGAACTGCATTAAATTCTTCCAGTTTTCTGCAGCTGGGAAGTCAACACAGATATGCCATGAGAAAACCTGCTCTGACAATCATTGCATGAGCAAGGAAACGTTTCTACATTAATGCTACTACCAAACAATTATCTAAAAAAACCCAAAAAAACACAAAAAAAAGCCACCCAAAAACAAAAAACCACCAAAAAACACCCCACAACAAAAGAACAACCAAACAGATGCTTCAGACAGGTAGAATGTGCATTACTGCTACACAACTTTAATTCAGCTTGCCAGTTCTGAAAGAACAGATTCAAGACTTGAAGTAAACAACAAAATTACTACATAACCTAGCATAATAAGAAATCAGTGTGCCAAGTATCTTTTCAAAATCATACATTTAGTGACTTTTTTGTGACTTCTACTAAAAATGAAAAATAGATCAGCAGAGACCAAGTAACATAGTACTATCAGACCACACATTTCTACTAGTGCCATCAGACAAGATAGGAACATATTCCATGAGAGAATTAGAACCTATTAAAATAGGGTTAGCTTTCTTTTCCTCTAGCACTTCACTCAGTAACTATGTTTTATGGCACAGAAAAATGCTCTTTTATCAACAATGTCATCATTGTCGCCTCAACAGGTGAACAACAACCCATTGGATATATTTTTCAAAGAAAATCTAAGTCAACTTTGACAGTAGTGAGGTCAACTGTCTAAACAGACTTGGGAGAAGGACAGGGTCACAGGCAACAGAAATAGAGCCTTTTAACGATTTTTTTTTTCTTCAAAAGACTTCCCCAAAAAGTAATGAATAATTTTCTTCTTCAACTGACCTTTTCCAATCAACTTCATGCATGTCCCATTCAACAAGCTTATAACAGGACATTAGGCACTGAAACCTTATCAAAGAGTAACTGAAGAACTATCCGGCCAAAGCACAAACTAGTTCTGGAACTCCCTGAGAGAGGTCCCATTGTAGCACACTTCTGAAGAATTGCTGCTGTCATAGAATGTGAAAAACCAATTTCAGTGTGACAAATGAGAAAGTACTTCTTAATAAACTTCCTAATTCACAAGTGGAATGCCTCCTCAAAAGATGACATAATAAAGGTTCATCAGCTGCACAGGGGGGAAAAAATTAACAAAACTGTAGGGGTTTATTTATTAAAAATATTTTAATATCTCTTGAGCAGATGGGTAACTCTTACAGAATGATAGCTCAGTCTCAAAGGTCTGGAGGTGAGACTTAGATTAAAAGGCTCATCAAGACAAAAAAAACCCAAACACCAAACAAACAAACAAAAAAAAAAACAAGCTACTGGACACTACTGCTCATTGTTTGATCCTTCCAAACGGGAGGTACTGCAGAAAGCCAAGACGGGTACACAACAATGTGTGGAACTATACCACTCTCACAGTTATCTTTGGATGTAGAAGGAACAATCTGTATCCTTTGCAAATGTGAAGTCATACATTAGATGAGACACTACTCCACACATCAGGAAATTTGTTTCCAATTGCATTACATTCCTTTATTAAACTAATCTCTTCTTGGAACATAATACAGTATCAAATGACGCACTCCTTAATCTGAGCCCCATACACATCCATTACTAGGAATTGTCTGGGAACATGGTAAGGAAAGCAGTAAACACAAAGCTGACCTTATTTTGCCAGTGGAAGTAAAATGAGGGATATGGGTCTGTTCAGAATACAAATTCAGTTTAGCCAGTCCTTTATACAACAGATGCAGACAGAGACTAATACTGATGACCAAGGTACCACAGAATAAGTCTGCAGTAGCATCACATTTGTTTTGTCATTTCACTGGAACATTCATCATGATTTTAAGCACAGACTGAAATCCACAAACTCATTTCATGACAGGTCCAGAGAAGTGTTACCAAATTTTAACTTTTTGTGGCACATCAGTCAGGTCTTCCTCTGGACCCTAATACCTGACCCTAATTTGAAGTATCTATAAACTATGACATCTCAAGGAACTTTCTATAGATTGCTGTGAGAAAAAAGGCAATTAAAGGAACATCTTACTGTCTGATGCTTTTTTAATCATTGTATAATACTGCTGCTGCTGCTGACTGTTTAACACTCTGCTCTGTTAACCATCATCAGTCTCACAGATAGGCACCTGAGTTTGGTGGATGGTAAAACTGTTTTTCCCTTAAGTAAGAACAGAGGAAGAGATTATGTACACATGAACGTAAATATTGTGTGTCAATATACACTGACAGCATATATGATATGAAGCTTATCAGCTTTCTCGCTGCCTCCTTAACAGTTACATTTTCGTAATTATCAACATCATCTTCAGGTCAATCTAAAACAATCAAGGATGGAGGGCAGAATAACAGAAAAGTGTTTGGGCACTCACTCTCACAAATTAAAAAGCTGAAATCTGTAATAATTCTAAAAAGCCAACATCTCTACTGTTTAACATTCTGAATGATCTTGCTTCTGGCTTGCTATACTTCATTTCTTCACTTGTCCATGCATATTTCAACTGCAAGCACTTCTTAAGTACCAAGAGGCATTTCCTCCTATCCATTACGCTAATTCTTATGAGGAAATTTGGTTTGTAACCTGCTGTATTATTAACCACATCTTTCAGGAATTGAGAAGCAGCTGTCAGCAGTACATGACACTATAATTTCCCAGCTTCATTAAAATTAAGATAGGTTACTTTCAGAAACACTTCAGGGTTGTTGACAAACCAAATTGGAAGTGACTTTGTATTGGAAACACTGAAGTAACACTATGAACAAGAATTTGCATTCATCCCAAACTTTTACTTTATTGGCTTTCTTATTCTTTCTCCAAGTTCTAATTAGCACTTCTAATTTTAGAAGGCTTGTGCCCTATACCCAACAGCATGCGAAGATACCTTCTCCATATTGAAGAGAACCCTGACACCATCCTCTTCCACTATTGATAGTTACCCTCCACTTTGAGCCTTTTTTCTAGGTACAAAAGCCTAGGCCCTGCTGGAGAAGACAAAGGCAAAGAAATCACTAAGTCCCTGAGGCTCTTCCATATTCACTATCACTAAATCACCTGTCACAGTCAGCAGCAAGCCCTTATTTCCCTTCTTTCTCTTTTTTCTTAACTGCTGATGCACTACTGGAAGTTCTTCCTGTTTCCTTTGATGTCCCTTACCAGTTACAACTCTAGTGGAATGTTGGCTTTCTTAATACTATCTCTGCATATGCAGGCAGTATTTTTATATCCTTGAGTGAACTTGTCCTCACTTCTACCTCCTGCACGAGTCTTCTGTATTGACACTCGGTCATGAGGTCCCTTCACGCTGCTCTCCTTACACGTCTAATTGTTTTCCTGAGCATCTGTATGGATTACTGTACTGTGCCACAGTGAGGTTGTCCTTCACAGAATGCCATGTCTCTTGAGCTTCACTATCCTGTTACTCGCTGGCTCACATCAATTAGTTCAGTAAATAAGCCAAAGTCTGCTCTTATTCTTAGGAAGTCCACGTAGCAAGAAGGCAATAAACGAGACTCACACAGGTCTCACTGATGGACAAGAACCATGAGATTTTTTAGTCACTTGCTCAGATTCTTGCATATGTCAACTCCCATTAAAATCATAATAGACTTTTATCAGCTGCAAAAGATTTCAAGTCATCTTACAAGAATCTGCTGCCTTCCTTCTGTCTTTAGACTTCATACTTGCTTTGTGGTACCAATGTAAAAAAAAAATACAAAAAAATCTGTGGAAAAAACTTTTCTTAGGAAACATGTTCAACAAACTACTGGGGAACTTCCAAAAAGAAAGTTGATTGAAATAGGTGTCAACTTTGTTCATTGCATGTGATAGCAGAAACTGATATACATTTGATTATCTGATCAAATAGGGAAAAACTGCAAAGAACTCCTGCAACACAACACAGATTTACTGCTGGACAGCAAAAGAAAATAAAGAGGCAGTAATATCAGTATTCCCTGTGTCTTCTTCAGTGGCACAACGATAACAAGCATTTGAGAATGACAGTAAGGAACTGCAAGATAGGAAAGGTTTCTCAGTGAGACATAACTCCCAAAGAATTATCTCAAAAAAAGGAACACATATACTTTGACACCCAAGGTAGAATGCTGGCAATTTTGCAGTTTATGTCATACAAGAATTATAAAAGTCCTGCTGGCTAAATCATGCTCTTAGCAACACATACACAGTTTACTAAATTGTAATTCTACTATCAGGAAATACAAGCTAATGCATTTTTGCTGGGATCTCATCCACAGAAAAATTACCCATATAGGTGCTTTGAAAATAAGTTATTTGCCTGTAGGTATCCTGGGAGAATTCAGTGTGCTATAATTAAAGATATTTTTTCTTTCTTTGTTTTGCAAACATTTATTATGCTGAAATAAAAGGCCAGCACATGTGCAGCTCAGAAGTTCCACAAGAAGTATGTTTTGATTGGCATAGGTATTGTTGCAACATTTTCCTATGTGAGCCAGGGACACCCCAAGCTAGGCTTGTTCTACACAGCCAACAAATTTTAAAACATATTTACTAATCAAAAGAGAATTTTGAAGTCCTAAGCAGGTCCGATTAATATTGTGAGACACTATTTGAAACAAAATTAAAATTCTAGCAAGATGCAGAAGAGCTAACAGGCTGATCCAAACTTGAGCAAGCACTGCTGACTGTTGTAAATGCATTTTCTCTGTGACAGATTTGATGTTTGGTAAACATAAACAGCTAATTAATGTCAGCCTCACTTTGCTGCTTGTCTGCAACAGGCACCAGAACAGTCAGGGTATGATTTGAGAGGAGGAAGGGATGGCAAAAAGGAAAACAGTTACACTGAAACCGAGATACACTGGATGTCAGATATCAAAACAAACAAAAAAAAGTAAGTAAGTAAGTTTGCAAAACATTTGGGAGAAAGACCAAGCTCTCTCCAGCCAGCATAGCCAGCACTGAAGGTCTGCTCTACTTACATCCCCTTTTACAAATGTAGATATGTCTTCCTGCATCTCCTTGAAATCCCAGGAAAGATCCCTGAATTAAAGAAAAACAAGAGAAGAGGAAGGAAGATATTCCTGAGTTGAGCTTGGCATGGAGTTTTCCTGGTTGCTTGCTACAAGGTGGAGTTTCCTTCACCTAAAATTGGCTTTTTGCCAACACAATGCAGGACACATTGAATAAACTGAATAAATTGAAGTGGCTTAACTTTCTGTTCCCTTGACCTCCTCTGACATAGAAAGGTCATAGAATCTCTTCAGAGCACATTGAGCATCAGAAGTTTAAGACTAGAACACCTCTCTCTCTCAAACCAGATGGTTTGCTAGAGGATCCACTGGATTCTTCTCCTCACTGCAGTAGCCAGGATCATACATTAGTTTCCCCATTGCTGGCAAATTACTGTCCACACTGTTCAGCCTAACAGAATATACAGTTACATATATTCAAATGCACAGGCTATTTCTCATCTCAGATCAAGAAACCTTCCTACTTGGCAACAAAACTAGTTTAGAGCTATCTGGGAATAGCAAAAAACTCTGAAATAGTGATGGAAAAGCTGGCAGTCTGAGGGTGTTCTCCAAGCTCTATCAGCAGCAGTCTTCATTTTCTTGAGACCATGTACTAGGATACAGAAATAACTTACACAATATTTACATGGAGAATGAGAAAGTTCTCATAAGATCAAGTCACAGAAACAACACTTTGCAAGAAGCCACGTAGCAGTGTAAAATTTACAAATATTTTGTAATTAATATCAAAACTCATCCAGAAAGAGGAAAAATTAGGAGACTTCAGTTGCTCAGAACACCAGGATGGTAGGAAATAAAACCTAGAAGAGGAGGGACAAAGGGGACATGGGAAACAGAAAGCATTTAAAGTTAAATTAAGGGTTATAAATTGTTTCTATTTCTACATTCTCTAGAAAAGAAAGAACTTATTTGATGTATGGAAGTAGAAATAAATGAGAACTTCAGACAGACACAAGCACAAAACAATAAAAGCATAGTAATACAAAAGACAGATGAGAAAAATAAAAAGCAAAAAACTACTTAAAGACCATTTTTCTCCCTGTATGCATTAAAAGGTCCTTCAAGAAATGCATCAGGCAAACCAGAAGGAAAAAAGAAAAAAAGCATAATTAAATTAACAGAGCATTACAGACATCTTAACTGGTAGCATTTGTTTTCTATAAAGAAAAAAAGATAGAAAATTCAAAATTGCTTATGAATATTATTCAAAGAAGAAAGAGTAAAGACCGCATATACACCATTAGGCTACCAAAACCACAACTCTCTGAGCAAACTTAAAGGCCACACAACACTTAACCAAAAATATCTCAAGAAACAAGACTGTTCCAAGGCACATTTCAATAAAACATGGAAGCAAAGTACTAGCAGCAAAACTATCAGTTTTGAGGCTATATTTGAGACCAGTCCAGAAATCTGGCATACAATGAACTAACTTCAAATTAATAAAAAAATTAAATGATTTTAAGATTAATTGCATAAAATAACCATCTACAGAACTACCATGTCAATAAAGACAATTACTACTTCAAACAACCCTGACTAAAAACAAAACAAAAAAACAAGATGCAGCTTGGTAGATGTTTTGCTATATATTTTTCTGGAGACTGTAAAGGACTTTGCTTTGACATGCTAAGAAATATCATACTAATTCAAGGGGGTTTATCAATATACTGAATACAGCACTGAATAGAAATTAATGCTGATGGGTAGACTGCTGAAGTGAAATCCATGTCAATATTGTCTTGACTCTTCACACCTACCGCACACACTAAAAATTAACTAGGACGAAGCTTTTTAAAAGGATTATAATTTTAGAAGTGCCACTACAATTAATTTCATAAAGTGAAACAGAAAAAACTATGTTATTAATTTTACATAGAAGAATACCACACCCCTGCCTTGCACTTTCTGTTGCAGAACTAAAAACCAAACAAACTCCAAAAAACCAAAACCACCCAACAGTTTGCTTGCATGATTTTTAATGTGAAGGAGATTAAATGTCTTCAGAAAGTGATGGACTCCTGTCAGCTACAAAAATAGCAAGTACCTAATATAGCCTACCACGGCAAAGCCTCACCCACCCAACTCAAGTCTTTTAGATCTATTTTATAAAGAGGCTAATACAGTATCAATGAGTCTACCTGATTTATATTGGTAAGACAGAATTACAGCTGATTGCCTCCCAACCAGTCCAATACTATAGCTGGCTCTAAGCAAAACTATTCAGCAACGGGCAAGCTTTAAACAAACAACCTATGTGGTTTAAGTCATATAATGATAACCCTAACTGCATAGTTGGTCTTGGGTGGGCACACTATTGTCAGGTAACATGACACATTCAATAAACGCTGTTAATTTCACACAAAAAGGAAGATCCATTAACTTTTCTTTTCATAAGGGAGAGTGAAAATTAAACGTCAAATATAGATGAAACTTGGAAGTCCGTAGAAACACACAAACTGCAAGATCTAGCAGTGTTGAACGTTTCACTTTCACTCTCCTTTATAACTGCTGCAGGTCTGGTCACACATGTGCCAGAAGTTCTGCTGAAGAACGGCATCCTATTTGAATGTACCTGAAAGAGTCTGAGCTATCTCAGAGCCCAGCAGCAGCGTTATCGGGCTGACCCACACACGCCAAGAAAGCCTGGCTTGGCCGCTCATCTCCACTCCCCATCATCAGCCAAGACAAAAGAGGTCCAACCGGCAGAAGAACCCGCAGCGAGGGGAAACGACCCACGCCTGCAGGATGCCGTTCCGCTACCACATCCCTTTTACTCAGCCGCCACCCCACAGCGGCTGCCAGGGAAGGGCAGCCATGGCGGTCACGCTGAAGCACAGGGCGGGCACCCGTCCCCCGGGACGGGGGTGCCACCCAGCCCTGCCGGTGTGCGGGGCCGACGCGGGGCCACGGCAGAGTCGGGG